TATTAAATGTCAAATAAAAGTCTTCAAAAAATAACTCAATAAAACTTTCTGCGAATAGTTTTTGGCATATGCTGTTGAATGGAAAAATTTGTAATAGTGTACCTATTTTTATTATTTTATCTTTTATTAACTACATAACTACATATTTTTTATTAACTGTGACGTCCGGGTCACTTTCAGGAACGTCTGAAGCGGACGTTTTCTCAGGTGCTCTATTTGGTTTGCGTATGCGACGCCTGAACCGGAACGAGCAAATTGGTGAGGCAGGCACAAACGCATGACGTGAACGCGATAAAATTAAGTTTTTTAATGTAAGAGCTTTAGCGAATATCTTAATTCACTGGAGTCGGCTATTACATATGACTATCTCAGACCATGCCGAAATAGCTACAGAAAATTTAATAATTAACGAATACGCCGCGAGTGTCTTGTTGAAAAATATTCCAAACCATGTTGGTTTATTTTTCGAAGACAAAGAAAACGCGGACGAAGCTAAGTTGTAATTGAAAAGGAGAGGAAAGTGTAGAGAGAAAAAAAAAACTGTTTCTTTTGACTTACTTTTATTTCTTTCTTTGAAGTTGCTTACTGACACTAGGAGAGTTGGACCTTTTTGGAACTGGAACTGTTACTAGATTGAACTAGATTAGCCTTTTTTGGCTTGTGCACGCTCTTTTATAGCCTGGGGGTGGTTGGGAGGAAAATCCCTCTCTCAAACCCTTAAAATTTAGGAAGAGTGGAAATGGCAGCAGTTTTTAATTGGCTGACTGAGATTTTCCCACTTTTCCCTTTCAGCTTTCGGGCCCTAATTGGTTCGGGGGCGTGGTGGAAATCGGAGGCATGCACTCAAGGGTATGGGCCCTATCTCGTTAGATGGCTCTCCAAGTACCATTTTCGTTACAATTTTTTTTATAATTATTAATTTATTTATTATATAAATCTTTGTAGTTCATTCTTAACAATAACGCGGTTTTCTTAATATCTAAACATATTTTACGCGAAAATCTTCAATTCTACGTGTTTACAACGAGTAACTTAAATAATTAACTAAATTTGTTGTTCAAATAATATGGAATAAGAAGGGAGAAATTGCGCATTATTTATGAGTTGTACTAAAGTCGTTTACATGAAACTTAATATATTATCGAGAGTGAATTATCTAATTAATTTATAGTTTCGGAGATTGTTTTTTTCGAGTGTTGTTGGCCCTTTGATTTATGTAATTTTTGAACTATTAAATTTTTTAAGACTTGAATACCAAAGGAAAATAGTTAAAAGGTTACTTTTATTATTTGGTTTATTGAAATCAATTTTGTTTTTTACAAATACGATTTTAATTTGTGTCGTACAATGGACTAATATACTATCATTTATTTATGTAATTATATTCTATTTATGTATTATTTATTTATGTCTTGTAACGAGCGGGCTCGTTAAGAAGCGGATGAGCGATTTTCGAAATAGCGCGCCATGCGCAAAAGACCCGCACAGCAAGAAAGAGAGAGAGAGAGATAGCTGGAACGCGCGGGCCGAAGAGAGAACACGCGAGACCGACAAAGCGGATAACACGCGCTCGGAATCCCTTTTTTTTGGTGTGGAAAAATTGAGCGACATATCGATCCCGCGGGTTGAGAACTTGTGAAGTGTGAGCACGGTGACTGCGGAAGAAATAGAGCAGAGATCGACGTGTGAAGACGAGCGAATCGAAGGCCGCCATCGGAATAGGGAGATCCGACTCGTCGCCCACAACTCACGAGGATCGACTCACAGGCCTCCCAGCCTCGACAACCCTGGGCGACGACCTTGGTGTAACCAGGCTCGAGATCTAAAGCGAAGCTGTCTGCAGCAGCATTCGTTCGTGTAAGTCTCCTCCTTGTTTCCCGGATTGCGAGCGGGAGTATTCGACAAGCGAGCGCTTGTAAACAGCGTCGGCTGCGTGTTAACGAAGTTTGTATCTTCTGTCTCTCTCTCACGCGTACGTACGGTTAGGTCGTATACCGTGAATCTCTCGGCCAACGTGAGTTGTCGCGCCTATGTAGTTGTAAAAAGTGAATAAACCCGGCAAAGATATATTATTAAGCCGACATATTCATTCGACGATCCTGAACATTCTCTACGTTCCCTTCTCCTTCGCAACGTTTTCTAGGAACCTACGACCATCGCTTTTCTTTGTTGCTTCGTGCTTTCGCGCTCGTTTTCAGATTGCGCGTCCAGCACAGAGCTAGCCAAAGGGGAAAACAGCGGTGACATATAGATTTTGCTAACGGACGACGATTTACTTCTGAAGAAATTACCAACCGTTACAGTCTTTCATATATTTATTAAACTTTATAACTTATTTAGGAAAAATAGTTTCAAAACTTTTGGATATTTTTGTTAATTGTGCGGAAATTATGTCTTTGATCCAAAAATTTGCGGGAGGTTTCAGGGAGCTGCGAATTTTTCCTATCATTCTGTTATTTTCTTAACTCATTTATTTAAAAATTATAATTGAATTTTCTTTTCTACTTAAAATTCTACGGCTCCTTTACTCTATATCTAAACCTACTCAAAAAAAAACTTTATAATTGTTCGGAGTAAAATTTGGTAAACGCGTGACAAAGGACTACCTGTTTTCACGTTTTTTTCGCTTCAACTGAATGCTCTCCTTATTCTCATTCCCAGAATTAAAATCTAAGTCACATATCAAACGCACACAAAAAAAAAACATTTTCCCTAATATTAAACGGGCCGACGTACATAACTATAGTTAATAATCATCTTTTTTTGACGGTACACTGAAAATACTTTTGATAATGGTCTACAATAGTGACTCAATTACTTCATTTATCAAAATTTCAAATTAATAATTTATAAAACCAATAGATGTCTGTAGGTGTATTGATACGTATGTTAAATATTTCTTTTCTGAAAAAATATATAGATCGTTTATCTTTATGCTATTTACAATAAACTATGCAAGAAAAAATGATATTTGATCCTATGTTTTCAATTAAAAAATAAAATTTGTCGGTTAACAATTTCTATGTTTTAGGGATTTACTCATTACGGTAAACGTCCTATTAGCGCTAGCAGCCCAACCATGCGGCTGTCTGCGAGGGCAGCACCTACCGGTTGGGGAAAATGTAATGAGGGAATTCGGCACGAGACGGGACGGAACGCGCACGAATATAAATGAACCTGTGGAGGATCATCAACCCGAGTGTCTGGCTGCAGTGAAAGGAAGTTTTCCGAGTTTTGACGAGTACCGAGACGAGTTGACAGATTCATCGAGAGGAGCTGCGCCTTGGTCCGACGAGAGTGATTGTGTGGGAACGTGCATGAGTGGAGGATTTTGCCATCGAGGGCGAAACCAAAAAGCGCGAGATACATCGCCCACAGACAAACAATTTCCGTGACTAGCGTGCGCTGTGCGGGTGCTTTCTACCTCTATTGTTGACTGTGCAGCCGTCGATAAGGTAAGCTGGTCAGCTTAGTATCGCAATTTCTTGTAAGATTGATGATAACTAACTTCTCGTACTCAGTAAGAAGCGTGCATGTATTAACTCGACGAACAAAGAGCCGCGAACGCTCCGACACTGCATGTTATTGACGCGCGCGCGCTTTGTAAACATAAATACGCGGACCGAGCATATTGTAGAGAAAAGGGAAAAGAAAAAAGCTCTCGCATGTGATACTGATTGTAATTTTGATGTTATTATTTCCCGCCGGTAGAAGGTTGGTTGACTGACTCCCGTTCCCTTGTGATGTTCGTATCACTTATAAATAATAATAATTCGAACTCTCGTATCTAGCTAATGAGTAAGAATTTGTTTACAATAATTTTACTCTACTTGTCAATAAAATAAATAGATAAATCAAATGTATTCTAACAATAATAAATAAATCAAATATATATAAATGAGTACAATGTTTTAAGGAAAGTCAGACAATGCTCTAGTTCCTTATGGTGCGAATTGTCCCATAAGCAGAGCTAAAGTCTTTCTTGGATAGGATATAATTCAGCCCAAGTTTCTTATAGCGCGAGATGTTCTATAAGTCGAGCTAGAATTATAAGGAAGGAACAGTCTTGTTCAGTTAATTACAATGAGAGAAAGAACTTAGGTATTAGCCAAGTTTATTCAGACTCATGCGCTCACCTTGTAAGGCTAGAAGTGAATGCTAGCCTGTGCAAAGGTGGGCCTATTTATACACAGATTTTCCCGCTTATTTTTGCAGGAGAGATGTCATCGAACATTCGAGAGACATTCGCGAATTTTGAGTAATGATTTTCTTAATTTACAAGGAAATAATCATTAATATTAAGCTTTTAACATATGTAAACTTTACAAAATTTGTTAGTTGTTGATTTTATACAAAATACAATTATCGCAAATAGTGTCGTCAAAAGTTATTAACTAATATAGTTAATTAACGTGATATTATAATATTTACAATAGAAAATTATTAAATTTTTATATAACTTTATAGTTGATTCAATTTAGAAGTATTTTCTAAAAATGAATATTTAAATTAGTTAATAACATTTGAATTATAACTAATTTTTCATATTTGTAACAGTTTTTTCTAATCTTATAATGCAATTATTAGATTAATTATCTAAAATTCCTAAATCATAAAGCTATCATTATCAAGTATAAAATTAATACTTTCGTTTTATATACAGCTTATTGTTTAAATAAATTATTAATTGTTATTTACTAATAACAGTTATTATTCAGCTGTTATTAATGAAACCAATTGTTACTGTGGCGACGCGCGCACGGCATATTTTCGATGTTCGATTGTGAAGTTGCCGTCGTAGAGCTGATTTTGTTATATTCGACGCGCCAATGTTTCTACATGATTTTTCTTTAGTCGTTATTATGACAGCCAAATCATAATCACATATTAATAAAGCTATTTACTATATATTGTCTCTACACATTCATTCTCTTCATTGGTGATCCCGAATTAAAGTATATTTAAAAAAAAAAAAGAAAGTTAACTTTTGAGAGTGAAGAATGGTGTTACCCCGAGACAACCAGCAAGAAGAGCTCAGTGCACAACTCGAACAGTTTCGCCTCGACAACGAGCGACTCACTCGGGAACTGGCTCAGCAGCAGGAGCAACAACTGCAACAACAGCGACAGCAGAACAATGATGGCCTTGCAGCAGGCGGCGCACCCGCCCCAGTTAACCCCATCCCTGCACCGGCAGTTCATCGTGTTGCTGTCAAGCTGCCGCCCTTTTGGTCGGACCGGCCTATCATGTGGTTCGCGCAGGCGGATTCGCAATTCATTATCTCCAACATCACAAACGAAGTAACAAAATTCCATTACGTCGTTTCACAATTGGATACTCGTATAGCTGTCGAAGTTGAGGATGTCATCGTCAATCCGCCCGCCGATAATCCGTATACTTTTTTGCGCACCAAACTGATTGAGCGTTTGTCTGCCTCAGAGGAACAACGCGTGAGGCGCCTGATTAGTGAGGAGGAACTAGGTGATCGCAAACCCTCGCAGTTCCTTCGCCACCTTCGCACGCTTATTGGCACGACAGTCATCCCGGATAACCTTTTGCGTCAGTTTTGGCTCCAGCGTCTTCCGTCTCACGTTCAAGCCATCATCACTGCGCAAATGACGGCTCAACCGACCTTGACCCTCGATAATCAGTCCGAAATCGCTGACAAAATCATCGAGGTGTCTCCAGCAACGCCTTTATCCATCCGAGCCACCTCTGTTTCAACGTCCACCGAACAAGAAGTATCAAACAACGCGTTGATTCGTGCCATCGAATCGTTGTCAAAGGAAGTCGCAGAGCTTCGTAGAAATCGAAGCAACAGCCGAGGACGTCAACGCAGCCAATATAAGCAAGATTTCAGTCCTGATTCATCTCGTCTGTGTTGGTACCATCGCAAATTCCAGGAAAAAGCTACGAAGTGCACCAAGCCGTGTGCTTACAAACCGGGAAACGACTACGGCAGTTCGTAAGGACGGCGTCGAACTGTTTGTCTCCGGGCAGCCGTCTCTTCGTGACCGATCAGACCTCCAAGCGCAATTTTCTCGTTGACACAGGGTCTGATATTTGTTGTTATCCTCGTCGTTTTTTTCGTCAGCGTTCTTCTCCTACTAATTTTAACTTGGTTGCAGCGAACGGCAGTGCAATTAAGACGTACGGCTATCTCCCGCTTAATCTTAATTTTGGTTTGCGGAGGGAGTTCAAATGGAAGTTTGTCATCGCTGACGTTGATGTCCCAATCATCGGTTCGGATTTTCTGTCGCACTTCCATTTGCTACCTGATTGTCATATGAAACTTCTCGTTGATGGTACCACTAATTTACGAACAAACGCTCAGGTAAAAAAAGTTTTTCAGCTCAGTGTGAAAACCGTCGCAATGTCTTCTTCGCCCGAATTTTCTCATATTCTCGCTGAATTTCCTGATTTGACTCATCCTTGTGGTAAAGATCGTGAGATTAAACACAATACTGTTCATTACATTCACACTACTCCAGGTCCTCCAGTCTCTAGTACTCCTCGTCGATTAGCTCCGGACAAACTCAACGTCGCCAAGAAACAATTTAAGGACATGGTCGAGGCTGGCACAGCCCGCCCTTCTTCAAGTTGTTGGTCGTCACCGTTGCATTTAGCTCCAAAAGGCGAGTCGGACTGGAGACCCTGTGGTGATTATCGTCATCTCAATAGCCGTACTATTCCGGATCGTTATCCTGTTCGGCACATCCACGATTTCACAAGTAATTTAGATGGTTGCACGATCTTTTCAAAAATCGACCTTGTCAAAGCGTATAACCAAATTCCTGTTTTCGTTGACGACATTTGCAAAACTGCCATTACTACACCATTCGGTCTTTTCGAATTTCCTTATATGACGTTCGGTCTTCGTAACGCAGGTCAAACTTTCCAACGCTTTATGGATGAAGTTTTGTTCGGTTTAGATTTTTGCTACGCTTATATTGACGACATATTAATTTTCTCTCGTTCTATTGATGAGCATAAAAAGCACCTCAGAATTGTTTTCGAGCGTCTTTCTCGATACGGTGTCTTAGTTAATGCGTCAAAATGTGTTTTCGGTGTTCCGGAACTCAATTTTCTTGGATATATGGGATCTTCGAGCGGTATTCAAGCTCCGCATGAGCGTATCACGGCAATTCAAAATTTTTCTTTGCCTCAAACTGCGCAGGGTTTACGTCGTTTTCTCAGTATGATGGATTTCTATCGACGATTTATTCCGCATGCTTCTGAGTTTGAAGCACCACTTCACGACGCACTAAGTAACCCACCTTTGAAAGGTAAGCAAAAGGTACCATGGACTCAATTGAAAAAGCTTTTCAAGTTTGCAAAGATTGTCTTTCCTCGGCTACTCTTTTAGTTCATCCACGAATTGGTGTACCTCTCGGTATATTCGCTGACGTTTCGGGCTTTGCTGCTGGCGGAAGTTTTCAGCAGTTTGTTAATGGTTCTTGGCAGCCGCTCGCATTTTTCTCAAAAAAGTTGACTCCTAAACAAGTGCAGTTACCGGCATATTACCGGGAACTTCTTGGTACATATATGACAGTCCACCATTTTCGTCATTTTCTCGAAGGACATCACTTCACTATTTTCACCGATCACAAACCTTTAATTTATGTTTTCGGACAAAAGCGTGACAATTTACCTCCTGTGCAAAGAAATCAGGTTGCATTTATTTCTGAATATACTACAGATATTCAACATATCAGCGGGGCAGATAACGTAGTTGCAGACGCTCTTTCCCGCATTGAGGCAATTTCAAAACCATTGAACTACGAGTCATTGGCAAGATTTCAAGAAGACGATGAAGAACTCAAGACTTTTCTGAATCAACATACGTCTCTTCAGCTTAAGAAGATCAAAGTTTCTGGATGTCAAGGATCAGTGTACTGTGACGTTTCATCTGGTAAGGCAAGACCTTTTATCTCTGCTCCATTTCGTCGTCAAGTTTTTGAACAGCTCCACAGCCTCAGTCATCCTGGAATCAAAACGACCGTGAAACTTATTAGCGATCGTTTTGTTTGGCCTTCCATGCGGAAGGATTGCCGTATTTGGGCTCGAGCTTGCTTGGATTGTCAACGTTCTAAAATTTCACGTCATGTGAAATCATCTATTGGCATTTTCGATCTTCCAGCTCATCGTTTTTTCGCATGTTCACGTCGATATCATTGGTCCTCTGCCTTCCGTTCGCTCTTTTAGGTACTGTCTGACTGTTGTCGATCGTTTCACTCGTTGGCCGGAAGTTTTCCCACTTGAGAACATCACTGCAGAATCTGTCGCTCAAGCATTCCTCAGCGGTTGGATTTCTCGTTTTGGTTGTCCTCAAATCGTTACAACAGATCGAGGTTCTCAATTTACTTCATTTTTGTTTCGTGTACTCGACGATTATTTCAGCATCAAGCACAAATATACCACTAGTTGGCACCCTCCAGCTAATGGCCTCGTCGAGTGTCTTCATCGACCTCTTAAGGCTGCTATTATGGCTCATTCCGATGTAAACTGGGTTGAAGCTCTTCCTCTCGTTCTTCTTGATATTCGCTCTGCTTTCAAAGCCGATATTAATTCATCATCGGCTGAATTAGTCTACGGCGAACCTCTACGTCTCCCAGGCAAGTTTATTTCAGCCAACGCTCTGACCGCTGAAGATCATCCGACTTTCCTGGCCGCTCTTCGTGATCGCATGGCTCGCCTAAGACCAACGCCAGCATCAAGACATTCAAAGCCTGGAGTTTTCGTTTACAAGGAACTTCGAGACTGCACGCACGTATTTTTACGTGAAGGGCCAGAACGACGATCTCTGCAACAACCATACAGAGGCCCTTTCGAAATTATTGACCGCAACGACAAAACTATGACTCTAAAAATTAACAACAAACCAAACCAAGTTACGATTGACAGATGTGTACCAGCGTTTATTTTAAATGAACCACCACCAGTTTTCTCATCACCATCGAAGCCTACGCCCTCATCTTCACCACCAGTTGAGAAGCCTCTACCTCCACCTGCACCATCACCAGTGAAACCTTTGCCTCCACCTGCATCACTATTAAAAAAGCCAGAGCGGACAACTCGTTCCGGAAGACGTGTGCATTTCCCGGACCGTTTCCAACCCTGACCTTTTTCACTCCGCAGGGGGGTAGTGTGGCGATGCGCGCACGGCATATTTTCGATGTTCGATTGTGAAGTTGCCGTCGTAGAGCTGATTTTGTTATATTCGACGCGCCAATGTTTCTACATGATTTTTCTTTAGTCGTTATTATGACAGCCAAATCATAATCACATATTAATAAAGCTATTTACTATATATTGTCTCTACACATTCATTCTCTTCATTACTCATGTTCTATACTTATTCATTTTGCATATTTATTTATTTATTTATTTATGTCCAGAGTAAATATACATTAATAATAATTAATAATATACAAATACATTACATTACATGTAATCCAGCAGAGGAATTTCTTCCTGTACGCTGGTCTGGCATGTTTAATAAACTAATACTAATACTTAAAACTAATTAATAATTTGTATAAAGATATTCGTGATTTGTTGTTCTAATCCCATGTTCTATTTAGCATCTGTCTGGATGTAGTGAAATATCCTGTTGTTGCATTCTTGGTTCTTCTGTAGATGACACGTTCTAAGCTTGTTAATCTTGCTGGACATGTTAGTCCTATTGCGCAAGTTTCTCTATAGTGTGGAAAAATTTCTTTGTGTTGTCTGCTCGAGACACATTTGCAAGTTGAGGTGAACACTATGTCATCGACAACTACAATGTCTAGGTGTTGTGGTTGATATTCTAGAGGTGATGCTGAGTTCTTGAAAATTTGTGCTCCTTGAATACCTCTGTCAAAATTTAACAGGGCTTTATTGTTGCCTAGATAGTTTATGTCTCCATAGGTCATTCTGATACAATTTGATTGTTCTATAAGTTTTCCAGGGACTGGCATCGGTTTTCTTGACAGTGCTCTATAGTTATTTTCATTTGCCTTCTCATCAATGGCATCGAAAACTGTTTCTATGGACATTTTGTTATTACTGTTTATGTTATGTTCTTCGAGTGAGGACTTAGTGAATTTTATTCTGTTAATTTGTGTAGCTGTCGTTGTTTTCATATTATTCAAAAGGCTGTTAGCTAGCTTTGTGATCCTGTTGATTTCTTGTGTTGATCCTTTCAGCATTTTTTCATAGTTATACTGAGTGATTCTTTTGTGTGATCTTTTATGAGATAAATTGCAATTGTTATTTGCACAAATAAATGTTCTAATATCTAGTATTAATTTGTTGTGGTCTACTGCATCCTCATGGACTTCCGATGTCGGATACAGAGTACCATAGAGATCAATTAATTGTTTTATATTTTTGCAGTTTAATCTATTTGCCATATTGGGTTTCCTTTGATCCATTTTTTAAGTTTGTTTTTCCTAGTTGTCGTGTTGCTAATTGTTTTCAAGTCATTTGGTAGTTTATTGTATAACATAATTGCTCTTACATAACTGTTTTTTATGCTGATAGTTAGTGTTCTTTTTGGGTGTTGGATTGAGGCGAATCTTGTTTTTCTTTCTTTTCCAATATATTTGTCCTTAAAAGTATCGTAGTGGAATAATAGAGATTCCAATGAAAAGCATTGATCTAAGTTAAGTGGGTATTCATGTGTCACAAATTGGTTTTTATAGATTATTTTTAGTAGTCTGTTTTGCAAGTTTTGTATTACTTTAATTCGACCTGTGTACGCTCCTCCCCAAGCTATAATTCCATAGGTCATTATGCTGTGAAAGAGTGCGTAGTAGATCATTTTTAATGTACTAGTATTCATTATTTTTGATAGCTTATATAGGACAAATGTTAGATATTTTGTTTTTTGGTATAGGATTTGTAGATGTAAATCCCATTTCATATTACTGTCAAAAGTAACTCCAAGATATTTTGTGTTTTCAACTCGATGTATTGGATGTCCTAA